ACACAAAAGAATGTGCGTTACTAAACATGTCTTCGTACAAACCAACAAGTTTCATGCCTATCTTCTCCCAAGTTTCGAAGAGCGACACCTGACCTCTTGTCCCCTCTCAGGGTTTGCACCTCAGCTGGTGGTTCCTCATTTGAGGGTAAGAAACAGAGCATAAACCTGGTGCTGGGGGGATTGACCTGAGGCTTACGATGTGTCTGCGTCCAAACGATGTTGTGACTTAACTCACAAGGCACAATGACATCTGGACAATTCTGTATGTCCTTGTAGAGTTATTTTCAAGGACAATGACATAGAGGATGCACACAACACATAAATGACAGTGTAGCGTTAATTGTGTGTGCCAGTCTGCATTTGAAGGAAGAGACTCTGCAGGTTGGAAGGTTGCACCTAATGAGACAACCAGTTACTCATGAAAGGACATACTGACTCTTCAGCTCTCCTATTCCTCTCTCACACACACACACCACGCACACGCAACGCACACGAACAGACACAAAACACACACACACACACACACACACACACACACACACACACACACACACACACACACACACACACACACACACACACGCAACCCTTAGTATAGCTTTCTTCTCTGGCAAGATTTTACTCACTGTGTATTGGCAGATCCATCAACTGTCACAACCAAAGGCACAGACTATGAACAACAGAAGTATTTCAACGTAAAACGCATATACGCCTATCAATAGTGTCTTTGCACTTATTATCCATAATAAATGTAAAGAGAGAGCTGCAGTTCCGTAACTAAGATATGAGATGGATGTAGAGGTGGCACACCCATAAAGAGATTAGACATCTAATCCTAAATTATTTTCCGACAAGCTTGTTCCCTCCTCTGATGACCACGGGCTTAGCCATAGCTAAAATAGCCATTGACATGTAATCTCCTTGCATGGTCACGCCTGAAGAAAATTCTGCAAGTGTGAATGTTCTGAGAGGAACAGAAAATACACATTTTGCGGTATTATATTTATAATTGTGCCTAAATGATTCCCCTTAAGAACAATACAATGATTGCAAGGTGGAGTTGGTCTTTTTAGATGAGTGTATTTGCAGTTTGCGTCCCTGTATGCATGTCTGATTGGGTCTTGAGTCTATGTGCACACTGCAATAGTTGCACCGAGCAAGTGTATATGCTTTGTTTGCAGAATGAATTGTGTGTGTGTGTGTGTGTGTGTGTGTGTGTGTGTGTGTGTGTGTGTGTGTGTGTGTGTGTGTGTGTGTGTGTGTGTGTATATATAATATAGCGTCTAGGGAGGAATGACTGCGGTATATATAATTGGATAATCCCAAATGAGGATCAATGGAAACAGCCTAAGCAACTGCAGGAAGAGTCACTGTTTTCTATACACTATATCTACACCTCAGCCTTGAATAATTCACAATCAAAAGTATAATTAAATGTCTCGAAACTTTTAAGCAAGTGCCAGCTGATTCATATGATCAATGATCAGTACGTTTAAGATTTTAAAGGGATATAAAAAATGCAATTAATTTGTTTGTCCTTTCATTGCTACTTTCACTTGATTATCTGCCCCCTAGTGGCTTTCAGGAAGCATTAAATGTCTCAAAACCACAATCTGACCTGTAATCTGACATGAGCCTGGACTATGAACTGACTTTCATGTGTTTTGGATCATTCTTTGTTAAAGTTATCTTTATTGTTGTAATTCAGATGGGACTATGCCATGTATTTGTCTCTTGTGAAACCAAATTCACACAATGTACCTTAACAATAGATCATTGTTTCCCCTCGGAACAGATTGTCTGGGAATCAGTGAACTCCGACCGTGTGCTTTAAGCAGCGTAGCTCATGCAGTGAGTTCTGGTGCGGCTCAAGACGTGACCCATTTCCACCAATCTCGGCCAACTGGCTCCAAACTGGGTCAGAGCAGAGCGGCGCACCGGACTGGGACGACACACAGACTACACATACACAGAGCTGTCAATGATCTTGGCCCGAAACGCACTATTTATAGTCTGTAAAACAGGTCAGTTGCACCCAAGACTTGGCCGTTATCAATATGAGCAATAAACAGATAGCGATGCATCAGCTGGCTTCTTATCACCTTTCTTCTTACTTCATCTTTTTACTGAAATCTTTGCAGTTGGAAGATAAAGTATGTACATGTGTCTATGTGTGTTTGACAAAGTGTTTGCATATGTGTTTGTGTGTGTGGGTGTGTGCATTGTTGAGTGTATGTTGTGCTCATTGCCAGCGGGGTCTGTCAGGTAGGATATAGGGAGACGGTCATGACAGCATTGCTGTTACCAGGGTGACCACCCACTCGCTGCAGTCGTCTGGCTGTCACGGCGATGATGTGCTAAGCTGTCACAGTCTTAAAGGAAGTGATGTCATCAGTGTGTGCAGCCAACTCGGTGTATCATCATCTCTGTTCGTGCGGTCGCCCTCTCCCAGCAGCGGAGGCTTTGTGAATTGTTTACCAAAGGACTCCCACTTCCTCATCCAGTCAACAATACATGCTTACTGCCTGGTAACACTCTATATGCAATGGTGGATTATCGAAGAATTAAGATGTTTTATCCGTTGGGTTTTTCAAGGACGCCGTGTTGTTATTGTTTGAAAAGTTAGGATATATGATAATGGATTTTTGGGGTATTCTTTGTACGTCGTAGAATGAAAGTAACATCTACAAAGCTGTAGTTGAAGTGAATTCCTAGAACTCCAGAGTATAATGCAGCTATTCTCCAAACCTCTCTTGACAGGCATCCATTTCTAAACAAACAATAGCGAGGAATAAAGCCACTCGTTTCTATTTTTCAGAGATTATTTTGCTCTTAGCTACATGTCTTTCACTGAAGTGGGAGGGCCATCTTTCCATCCTGAGTTGACCCAGGCCGAGCTTAATGACTGACAGCGTCCTCAGCCAGCGGGAGCGCGTGTGTGTGTTATCCTGAGGTTATTATGTAAGAGCGGGACTGCAATGCTGGCGATTCCTCAGCTAAGAGGAGGATCAGACCCGCACTATCTCTTGAGGGGGAAAAAGAAGGAGAGAACCAGCTAGGGATGAATTTCCAAAAGATAGTTGTTGTGGTGTGCACTACACTACAGTGAGAGTTTTCACACGTGTGTAGCTGATTGTGGCCATGAGGGCTGTATTGCGCTGGCACGTGTGTTATGATAATTGATTTTTAATGAAGTGAGGATCTCCTGTGTATTTCCTGGGCTGGCCCTCTCTCTCTAAATAGAGTCCTAATTATCTAGATTGCACGGCAGAAAAAAGGCAGCAGCGTAGCACTAATATGTTAACGATACTTCATCTAAAACACAAGTAGCTCTCACAGAGTACCGTTAAGGGTTATGCACACATCTCCATGTTAAAAGGCAGTTGCTGCTATACATGTTTAGCTTGTGTATGTGTGCATATATGTGTGTGTGTTTGGAGAAGGGCAGACTGGACATGCATGTTTCATTCATTCAGCCTGAGGGTTGGCCTACAACAGAAACATACCCATAGCAACACACACACACAATATCGTGCAGCATAACCCGCCGATATTCACTGGAGTTTGGTGCTGTAGCATGGCAGCTTATGGAACAGTTGAAACCACTTTCTACTATAACTTTTGCCAATGTGAGGCACTTAAGAACTGCAAACACAACTCCCACTGTAGTCCCAGGGGTTGATTAGTTGGGGAAGAATGTGGGTGGTGTATCCACTTTATTAAATATATGCATAGCTTCTTGCCAGCTAACTGGGAAAATAAAGGATAGGAGCGCTTTACCCCCCACCACTTCTAGTTAAATCTGAACAACTCCAGCGCTGATGTTAGATGTCTATATACTGTGAATTATGCTATCACTGTTCACCATCCATTCCCCTTTTTCCTGTGTTCCTCTTCGCTGTAAGTGGCTGTGTGACTGGGAAATCATTTCAGTTTCGGTATTTTATGATCTATTTCCATCTCTCAATGTAACGCGTCTTCCTTGTTTCATAGAGCTTAGAGTGGTACAAGCGTTTTTTTCCATCGCAGATGATGAATAATACTGAGCAAACTTTTGTTAGCGTGAGTGGATTAACACACACACACATCTGGGAATAGTGTATAGCAGTGCAGCTTGGGTTATCTCCCCTGTGTCTCCTGTCATGTTTCCACATCATACTGTCCCATTAAAATCAATGAAACAATGCCACTGCATATGGTTTCAAACTGACTTACGCTATGTGCTGTCACACTTTCTCTCTTTCACTGTCTGAAACAAGAACACATACATTGAAGAGTGGTGGTCTATCTGCTCTCCGTTCAAAAATATATAAAATAAATTGCATTTTGATCACTTTTATCATCTTTCATACTTAGTTGTCCTCTTTCTTGTCGGTTTGACAGTCAGCATCCGGTATTAACCACAATTGTCTGTTTCAGAGCTTTGGTGGCCAATACAACTATGTCTATATGCAATTTTACAACACTACTGGCATTATATGTAAAATAATGCAATATTATTTTAGGACTAGCACACAAAAAGAAAACTGACAATGACATATAGAAAATATAGAAAATATAATGCACATTTCTTAATAATATTTTCTGACATT